AGAAAAATTAGCCAGGTGTGGTGGCACCTGTAGTCAGTCCCAGCCACTCAGGACACTGAGGCAGGAGGATCGCTTGAGCCCAGGAGTTGGAGGCTGCAGTGAGCTGTGATGACACCACTGCACCCTACCCAGGGCAACAGAATGAGACTCTGTCTCAAAAAAAAAAAAAAAAAACAACTTTAGAAATAGAGCTATACCAAAACAACAACAACTTCTGGATACACCTGTATATTGATCACCACATTAAATAACAAGATCTAACAACCACAGTGATTTCGCAGTAGCGACGAATGTCAGCAGTTGTGTGCAGCAAGCCAAGCTGAAAGTATCTGCAGCTTTTATTGGGGACAAAGTCACAGGTCATGTCTTTTCGCCTTCATTCATAACTGAGGAAATGGTAAATATCAGTTAGAGTCCGTGAAAATAAAGGTACGGATTTTTTTCCCCATAGGAGTTCACAGACACCCTGAATTCTGGCATCGGGTCCCCCAAGAGGTCCATGGACCCAAGACTTAAGTTCCCCTAAGTGTTCTTGGGAAGGGGGTGGACACGGAAGTTATATAGATGCTAAATTGTGTTTATTCCTCTTAGCGCTTCTCTCCAGTGAGGGAGGAATCTTATTAAGCACCTACTGTATTCCCAGGCTCTGGAGATACATTAGGGAGGAAGAAAGAAGTGGTCCTTGTCTTCGGGTGTCCCGGGCTGGTTGGGGAGGGAACATTAAACACAGCTTCCTGTGCCTCTGCCCCCTGCCCGCCATCACCAATTTATGGAGCGTTCGGTGGGCGCCTGTCCCCACACCAAACACATCTTGGTGGTCATCGGATCAATGTCTTAAAACAACCCTTCCAGGGAGGTTTGATGGTGCCCAGTTTACAGATGAGAAAACTGAGGCTCCCAGAAGGTCACAGCTGGAGGATGCAGGCTTCTAGGGCTGCAGGTGGATAAATGTGCCCACCTGCAGACAGGTGCAGCTGCCCACCTCCCTTCTTCAATGAAAGACATAAAATAGTCCAAGTTTCTACCCAATTTCCCTCCCCATCACCTGTCCCAGAAGCCTCCCCATTCTGGTTTCCACATTTACACAACATACGCACACACCCACGGACGTGATATTGAGCATTCCTTGGTCTGGTTTTGCTTTTTCATTCACATAGGCTGGAGGGCAGCAAAGTGTCTTCTGTAAAGGACCAGGTATAGTAAATATTTTCAGCCAGACGCAGTCTCTGTCTGTCCCAACTTTTTTTTTTTTGAGACAGGATCTTGCTCTGTTGCCCAGGCTGGTCTCGAACTCCTGGCCTCAAGTGATCCTCCCGCCTCGGCCTCCCAAAGTCTCAGGATTTCAGGCATGAACCACCGCCTGTCCCAAGTGTATATGGTGCCATTATAGACATAGATGATATGTAAATAAATGAATTTGGCTATGTTCCAATAAAACTTTATTTATAAAAACAGACGGCGGGCCGAACAGGGCTGACGGACCATGATTCCCTGACCCTTGACATCGATGGTATTAATATTTAGCCTCATTCCTTAGATGACACATCTTCAACACTTTCCCAAGTCAACGAATGTAGCCCCTCCCTTTGACATTCGGGTTGCTCCCCCCAAAACAGCATCGCTACCTTAAAAGGTGGTGGTCATGAGTGTCGCGGAGGGAGCCTGACTCTCTCAGTTCAAATCCTTCCTCTGGATTAATAGCTGTGAGGAGGAGCCGAGGATCAGCTCTCTGGGCCGTACCTCAGTTTCCCTCCCTTGTGACACGGAGCTGGCGTGAGCCCCTCTCTGATGGGGCTGGTCAAAGGACTGGGTGACTTCATCGCGGTGTTTCTCTGCCGCAGCCACAGAGAAGGGGAACTTCTGGGACTTCTCCCGGGACGGGGAGAAGATGCATTCTCAGTCTTACTCAATGTTGCCGGGTTGTTCTCCAAATGATGTGCGTGTTTTCACCCCCGCCTAAACGAAGTCCATAAGAAGGCTCGTTCTCCCAATCGGCCACCGCCTGGTACTTGCTCTTTCTTAATTTGAACTGAGGTAGACTCACTGCACCCGAGCATAGAGATCTTACACGGAGAGCTCGGTGAACACGGACACATGCGCCGTAGCCAACACCACAGGATACAAATCACTTGCAGCGCCCCCCGTCACCCGCCAGGCCACGTGGTCGTGCCAGAGGACGGGAGCTGGGAGCTGGGGAAGCCACTGCAGTCCACGGGGCGCCACGTGGCTTCCACACACACCTGCTGCTGCGGCCCACATCTGGCAGGGGCCTGTGATCGCAGGACGGTGCGGCGGAGAACACCGCCTGGAATCTGGGCTTGGGGGGGGTCTTGGTGTCACCGGTGGGGGTGGCGGTGAAGGCAAGGCTGGCCCCAGCTTCCCACAACCTGAGCTGAAGGGTCTTCCGATGACCACTCCTAGGAGCCAGGTCTGGGGCCGTCACTGTCCCGCTCCCTTCTTAACCAACCAGGCCCAAAGTCAAGAATGGCATCAGATCAGGCCAGAGGGGGCCTTCCCACCTCGACACCTCATCCTAGTGCCCTGGTCGGCCTTTCTCATTGCCGTGTGACATTCCACTATGGGGACCCACCCAATGTACTACCCAGTCATCTCTCCATACATACTTGGCTTGTTCCCATATTGAGACTATTATAGATAAAATAGTCGTGAATATTTGGAGGC